AGTTCGACAAACTACTTAGAACGTAACTGTTTGGATTAACTGACGAAAGATAAGCCAGAAAATTTACCCAACCCTAAAAAGAATAACCAAAACCACGCAGTATTTCAATAAAGTAGACTTGTTAATACTATTACCCTAAAAAACTAAAATTAAACGGTTCACTGACTATGAAAGTAGCCAGGAAACGAATATTACCCTAACCAAAAATTAAAATTAAACTATTCACTGACTGTGAAAGTAGCCAGTAAAAGAATATTACCCTAACCAAAAACTAAAATTAAACTATTCACTGACTGTGAAAGTAGCCAGTAAAAGAATATCACCCTAACCAAAACCTAAAATTAAAATTATTCACTGGCTGTGAAAGTAGCCAGTAAAAGAATATCACCCTAACCAAAAACTAAAATTAAAATTATTCACTGACAATAACTGTAGCCAGCAAACAAAAATTACCCTAACCAACAACTAAAACTAAATAATAATAAAAAAACGAAAGTGGATTCTAAACTAAAACCACTTAATACCAATGTCAATACCTAAAAGCTATAAAAAGACTCACAGACTACTAATATGGAAAGTAGCCAGCGAACAAACAAAACTTCTGACTACAACTAGGCGAAAACGAAACTAAAACCACAAATCACAACAATTAAAGATCACTGACAACTAAAACGATAGTAGTCAGCAAAAATTGTGAACAACTATGCAGTTTGAAATGAAGGGACGAAGAGCAGAATACAACGGTACGATGCAGTGCCTGTCTGAACAGCGAATGAGCTCGGTGGCGGCGTCGCGGCGAAGAGAAAGCGTCCCCACTCCTCCTCCGTGGTGGGGGTATGACGTCGACGGCGTCTGGCTAGCAACATGAATGAATACGCAGTATAACATATTATTTTATTTCGATGAAATAATATCTAATACCCTTAATTTACACTAATACATAATAGAATAAGTTAGGTATTTTAAACCTAGCCTAGCTCATAAAAATACAATACTTTCGACAAATATTGACACTAAATAGACTGAATTGGTTAAGTTCTCAGCTATTTTAAAGCTAAAAGCAAGATGATTTTTGTGACGGTTGTGTTCAACAGTTTTGAAATCCGAACACATTTAATATTGATAAGACCGTAAAGAGTTTTCTTTTGTCAAGAAATATTTAATGTCGAATGGTACATAACTTTTGATTCCTGCTTAAGTTTATCATATGAGTTTTGCTATTTTGATGATTGCTATGAGTTCAGTTAGGTTGAATTGTAAATATAAACTATTTCAATATGAGCTTATGAGAAAAAATTTAAACAAATTATGATGATACATTTCCGCATACTATCGCTAAATAGGTTTAGCGTAGTTTAATAGTTCGTAATTAACATTTTTATAATCACACTCGAGCAAATAGTTTGACAATATTGCTTAAACTCAACAGCATAAAGAAAAGGCTATGCCATTTTTTGTCTTAAATTCAGCCTTTGAAACTACATTATACAGCAGAAAACCACTTTTGGAGTGTTTATTTGAGTTTTTACTATTTATTACGCCGTTTTATTTTAACAATAACTCATTCCTAAGAGTAGATTAACCAGTGGAATTCATTAGTTTTGAATAAACTTAACACCGTATTAGGCCTAAAACAAAACAGTACGATGCGTCTAACGGCAATTTGTTTCGCTACATATTTTAGACTGTATTTTATAATATCAAGGACATATGAAAGCCTATGTGTTTTTTAACGTCCACTGCAAATTAAACACCAAGAGGAATGTTCGGTCCCTTAGTACTATACAATATTAATCCATCAACTTTAATTATAATTACACAGGAATAGAGGTATTCAATAGTTTAGTAACAGTTTTTTTTTAACCATGCACGTACGTGTACTAAATAGTTTGATAATATTGCTTAAGCATTTTATTATTTCACATGGTCTACGGTCTTTAACGTACAATTTTTGATATTGATAACTAGGTGAAATGTACAGTCATTCGTAACGGAAAATTGCTACACAATGAGAAATACGAGATACAATTAATTCACCAATTCGTTTAAGTTACGCAGAAATAGAGGTATTCAAAACATAAACTAGTTAATAATGATAAGCTACGTTTAATAAACTAAATAACTAGAATGGGTCTAACATGCTTGTTTGCTGCATTTTTTACTTTTACAAATGAGTAATATTTTACAATGCGCATAATAGAGTTTAATAGAGTTTTGTAGGAAATTTAATTCCTGACCATGAAAAGGCATCCCTTGCAGTGTTTTTTTTTTTAGTTATAGCCGTTTAACAAAGTTGTCATTACCCCGTAACTTGGTGTAACTTGGTAATCGTGTTTCTAAATGGTTGAAAAACTATCACTGAAGTCAGCCACTTTTAAGCTTATAACATGGAAAACTGTTAGAGCACCAAATTTTGACATTAAACTTAAATTTTGGGGGTAAAGCTACGAAAAAACATGTAGTGGTTGAAATTTAAGGCAAACAAAGAAGAGTACAAAGCATTAATAATATTAGATAAAAAAATTCTTAGGTAAGGAAAAAATAAAACCTTTGAAAACTTGAAACTAATTTACCAATTTTGTTGTTTTTTTAGAGTTTTTTTAGGTGAAGGGGTGTGACTCTTGGAAAACGCCGTAAAGGATTTTGTAGAAAATCTAATGCCCGCCTCTTAAATTTTAGATTGCAATCATTTCAAATCTTTGCTAACTCTTACAGTTTTTTTGTTATAGCCGTGTAAAAAAGCGTGTTTTTGTCGTGTTCTTTTAAGATGCTTAATTAACTGTAAAGCTTATTTTAGTTAAATAAGTATCTATCTATATATTAATAGGCAAGCATGTTTCTTTAAAACCTTTTTTCTCAGCTCGTGTGCATCGCAGGGAAAATCTACGCATACTGTTGGAAATATATTTTCCTGTAGATGTGCAGAATACCTTTATAAATTAAAATAGGCTCAAAAATAATCACAAAAAATGAGTTTAAAATTTTGAAAAAATTAACATGGATCTTATCTGTTGCCATGCTGGTGACGAAATAACAACTAAATATAAACAGAAAATCAAAACAAAGGGAAGAAACTCCAATCACATGTTTTATTTACAGTGTGGGGTGAAAATAGAGAGTCTGTACATTACATATTTTTGGTCGAGTTTCGACCACTGGACGACCTCTAGTAACAATAAATGTATAATCCATGGAGTTAAAGGGGGTAACATGATTTTGGTTGTCGCCACTAACATATTTCAAAGTTCTAGCTCTAATAATATGAGTGGGTAAGTGGGCTTATCCTTAAATTCTAAGGACACAACTATCAAAATGGTGTTTTTAGAGGGGTTTGGAGGGAAGATACGTGAAAGGCGCAATGGAACAAAATGTACACTATGAAAATTTGTATAAAAAAAATTAGTTAGATTTTATATAATCTTACGTTTGTGTAATTTTAAATTGAAGGAAAACTTAAAAATCGGGATTTTTTAAAAACTAAAATAATCCCCCCCTATTTTGAGGCTTGAGAAGAGTGATTAAAAATTCCACAATCGGTTAAGAATAAACTTTAGACATATGTAAAAATAAGTCTTGGGTCAAACATGCCCAAAACGTTTTTTAACCTACTCCAGAGCAGCCATCCCCCCCCCAAAACAGGGAAAAAAGGAAAAATTCCAAGTTTAAGCGTGAATTTGGGGGTGAAGGAGTGAAGATGGGAAAAAATATTAAATTACAAAGTTGTAGATAGTCAAAAATAAAGGAACGTAGGTGCTCTCCGTTTCTTGATCAAGCCTACGGTTGAGCCCCAACAGACGATAGAAAAAAAAACATGAGGGAAAATACCAAAAGTTGATGTTTAGAGCTAAATATAAGGGCGAAGGAGTGGAGATGGAAAAAAACATTACGTTACTAAATTGTAGCTAATTTAATTCTAAATACTGTAAGTGTTCTCCGTTTTTTGATTAGACCAACGGTTTAATCACAACAAACGTTTTAAAAAAACCTCTTTTTCGTACTTATAAAAAATCCGCCATTTTGAATTATTTTGGGGGGTTAAAATAAAAAATTATAACTTTTAGAAGTTTTCTGGGTGGTTTTGGGCCAAGACCTATAATCGTGCCAAATTTCACGTCCCTAGCTCTTCTAGAAGTATGTTAGGATTTGTATACCTGATCAGTCAGTCAGTGAGTTACACATGCGGCTGTATATTTAATTAGACTCGCCTTTGGCTCGCTGGGGGCTCCGCCCCCAGGCCCCCTAGCTGTTAGTCGTCATTCAGAAATTTAGGAAGGGGTGAGAGGCCATCACCAAGAAGCCGGGGAAATTTCAAGCCCGTAGCACACCTAGAAGTGGTCTAGAAAGCACTCTCCGCATCTCTAAATTCTTTGTGGGGTTGTAATAGCGAAAATCGATATTGAAGTAATAACCATTTCACAAAATATTCGAGTAGATTGATAAGTAGAGAATAGTAAAGTATTATATTAAGTAAATAGTTCATCGTAAATATTCATGTATAAGTTTATGAAAATATATTAAGTTAGTTTTGTTTCCCTGTCAGTTAGCCACAAACTGTATGGCATATCCAGTTCCGCCACGGGGAGGCCAGGAAACGTAGGAACCATATTAATTTACAATTATTTATATTAAAAGTTATATTATTTCAAGTAAAAAGATGTTAGTAAACATTTATAAATTTATTAATGAAAATAGATCAAGTAATGTTTGTTTCCCTGTCAGTTAGCCACAAACTGTATGGCATATCCAGTTCCGCCACGGGGAGGCCGGGAAACGTCGGAACCACAAACAGTAACACAAAACAGGACAAAAACACACGAAACACACAAAAACACAAGAAACACACAAAAACACACGAAACACACCAAATACACAATAACAAACTAAAGGTCGGGGACTTTTGTTAAGGCAGACCCCTTGTCGTACTGCCATGGATGTCAAATCACGACGGGGAGTTTTGTTGAAGCAGATCCCCTAGCCTACTGCTTAGGTCAAAGTAGGAATTAACGAAGGAGCTCGTCGTATACAATGTTCTTTGCATAGGCAACTCCTTCGTGGACCCTGTCAGGATGGACCAGAACAACGATGTCGTCAGGATGTCTGACTCTACTGAGAAGGACGTACAGTTGACCATGCGTGAAACAGTCACTGCGAAGATCGACTCCGACACGATCAATCGTCTGGCCCTGGCTTTTGTGGCCAGTCATGGAATAGGCCAACATGAGAGGAAACTGAAGACGGCGGACGCGAAGCGGAGACCCCTCGACAAACGGGAAAACGAATTGAATCCGGGGAATACAAATCGGATCGCGTTGTCCAGGAAGTCGCACTGTGATCAGACGAGGTCTAATAGCGGTCACGATCACTTTAGTGCCGTTAACAAGTCCGCTGTCAATGTTCAGGTTCCTCATGACGAGACACATGGAGCCAATCTTTAGTCGCAGGACATGGTCTGGCACGCCCTTGCCAGTAGCCTGGTTCAACAAGTGAACGTCTACATCCATACCATCGTCGTTCTCCTTGTCCACAGAATCAGCACTTCTCAACTCATGAACGAAGCCGTCCGTCAGGTTGAGAACAGTGTTGTTGATCTGCTGGACATTGGCGTTCATGGTTGAAAGAATAGCCCGGCCAGCGATTCTATCTGTATGGCTCAGGTCACAAACGGGGAATACAAAGTCAACTAAATCGTGTAGTGATGTCACATATCTAATACCGCTCAAAGGAATCAGACTTGAGCAGCCACGGCCTTCTTCAAAATCAACAGATCTAATTGTTCCATTGCCTACTTTAAGGAGAAACTCAGAGTACGCAGTGGAGCCAGAAGTTCTGTGAGGGGTGGACAGGGAAAAGATTTTGAAGCTTGACCACAGAGATGACGCACACAGTGATACACAAGCAATGTCTGCTGGAGTACGAGCTTTAGCTACAACTGGTGCGATCTGACGGAAATCTCCGCAGCAGAGGAAGATCTTGTTCCCAAATGGCTCAGGTGAATTCATAAGGTCACGCAGAGATCTGTCGATGATTTCAAAAATGTACCGGTGAGCCATCGGGGCCTCATCAAAAACTATGAGCTGGGCTGCTCTGATGAGTTCTGCACGCTGAGATCCGTTGGTCAAGTTCCAATACCCAGTGCCATCGCCGAGATCAAGTGGCAGCCTAAACATACTGTGTGCTGTCGTGCCACCAGGCAGACTACCAGCAGCAATGCCGGAGCTAGCGACAGCAATAGCAACCCTGTTAAGACTACGAACGTATGCGAGGATCACATGAATTAAGAAGGTCTTGCCGTAGCCGCCAGGTCCGTCGAGGAAGATAAGTTTTATGGACCGACTACCAACCTGGCCATGTAATATCGATCTTACATAATCAAACACCACTCTCTGGTCGTTGGAAAGCTTTGGTTCCCACTCATCTACTAGTGATCTCTGTTGATTCTCACCGTAGATGAGTAGTTTCCTACCCAATTCGGTCGTGTCGTCATCTACAATGGGCAGACCGTGGTCGGCCAAGCAGGACCCCTGACGGCGAAGACTTCGATCGATTTCAATCAGACCCAGCTTGAAAGCAACGTCGTGATCAAGAGGATTCCGCTCCAAATGGTCCTCACACAATGTATCCCGGAAAGCATCCCACAAGAGGGCCGCGGGAGCTCCCATGTTACAAAGTAGAACAAAGAAAGAGCGGAGCCTCGGGCCGACCATAAATCGAGCAGCTTCCTTCAGTGCCTGGTGGTACTCGTCCTCATCTTCAACCAAACCGAGGGTGCGTGCTACTTGTTGGAATGTAGTGCAACCATCACCACCTCGAGTGAGCAGATCGGCGTAACCACGGCATGGTATGATCATGAGCAGCAGCCGAAGAAAATATTGCTCACTCCTGTTTGGTGAAACCCAGAAGAGTCGACAGATCTTTTGGCCACGTTTTCTGGAAGTTAAGAAGTGCTTACCGTCTGGATGTTCGTAAACCTCAGCACTACTTGGACGTTTGCTGTGAACAATGTATTGTTCAAAAAAACACTGGTACGTCAAATTGTCAAACATTGGGTCACGAGGCCTATTGAAATAAAAGATCAAGTCAGAGGTAGCTCCAGAAGTGGCGTGTGTCAAGTTGTTAGGTCGAAAACACACATTCTGTTTTCCCTCTAGATGAACAGGGAGACATTCAACGGTGGGCTCAGACTTTGATATTGGGAAATCCAAGAGACGCCAGCATGCATCACTGGCTCCCACCATACGCTTAGTCACATAGTGCTCGACTTCATCGTCTTGTTTACTCAAAGGAGTAACTTTGACGTTCTGAAGCGAGCCACCCTTCATTAGATATTTAAATAGATACTTAATCACTCGTCGAGTGGAAGCTACCTCTAAGTTGATGTGTGCCTCATATTTTAGAAGCAATGCTGAGTTATACGGTACAACCCAGCCGTCATGCACAGGAATCGATCTGTTTCTTGAAGTTATACTCCCCTCATTACCATAATCACGCCGATATTTTACAAAACCCCTCTCGTCTACATGGGTTGATTCACAGGGAGGTTTGGGGAAGAATTTAGAGCAGCTACCTTTGTCGGTGTCCCAGCAAGGGAAGTCGGTTCTGTGATCTGTACCACAAGGCCCGTGAATCATGTGCCGCAGAACCAACGCCCTTAATCGACCTCCTGCCTCCTCCGGAGATGGAATATCAGCGCGAATGAGGGAGTCTATGTCAGCAGCCTGAACAGGGCCATCGCCTTCGATTTTAAACACGATGTGGGCATGTGGAAGACCCCGCATCTGCATCTCGATGACGTGGACTATGTAAACAGAACGACCGAACATAGCTCCGCTGCGTAGATCTCGGAGGAGTTCCAGAAGTTTGATGTAGAACACTCTGCAGGCGGTGCTGGGATCACTGCGACCGCTGCTTCGAGGGCAAGCCTTTTTGTTTTCCTCCCAAGTTGCACTGTAGGTAAATGTAAGGAAAAACGTAGGAAAGCCGAGGCGAGATACTAAAGCCATAGCATTTTCGTAACGTAATTTCATATACCTCGGCCCCCCTGTGAATGAACTTGGGAGGTAAACTTTACCAGCTTGTATTCCACCCTCCCCTTGAACAGTTTCATCATTGTTAATATCGTTCACCACTTGACGTCCGCCACGATTCACCGCCTCAACTTCATCCAACGGCCCTATCCTCATGGCATTTTCTGCCGACTTAGTCTGCGAGAACTTAATGAAATTAAGCCTTTCATCCTCGTATCTTGCATACATTTCCACCTGCCAAGCTTGGGACAGCCGGCCGAGATGTGAAAACCGGGGATCTGATAGTAAAAGACAACGTGAATAATCGTACTGAGACAATTTGTTATTAAAATTGTTCAGGCGTCCTATGTGCCAGCCCAAAGTGCCATGTGGATAGAGCAGAGGATATTGAAATGGTTCCATGAGAGGGCTGAACAAATTTATTGAAGTTGGTCTTCCAGATCCATTTTTCCATATAGTTAGCTTGCGAGGCTCGTAAACAGTTTCCTCGGTGCTTAGAACTGCGTGCACCTCAACGCCTGTGTGCCTGTCACCTAAAACAGGACCATGGGTAGATCGACTTGTTACTTGGAAATCCAAGTGAGCGTTGACAGCTGGTTCACTGCCCAAACGCCGATAATGAACAACGTATGGATTTACTTGTGATAGAAACTGAGTAATAGAGTCGATAACATTACCATCAAGCGATCTACCCAAGGCAATATTTCGACGTTCTTCGCCGTCATCGAGGTACAGACGAGACCGGTTTACTAACTGAATGTCTCCAGCTTTAGTTGTAAACTTTTGACCAGGGTCAGACAGACTGTAAACCTGGTGATACATTCTCCCTTCAATTTTGAAAAAAGAAAGACCACTTGGGTGCCTGTACCCACCGGATACTTCCAATGCACAAAACGCAAACAGGTCGTTGTAAGCACGAGCCCTATCGAGAAAACGGCGATCTGAGTAAAACGATTCTTGGAGAGGCTGTAGGTTAAGAACGTTGTTTGCCCCTTGACCACAACACCACTTCTTCCTACACTTTTCCTCTTCAAAAAGTCGAGCACCACAGTAAGTACACTTGAAAATACAATTATCCCACAGACTAACTTTTTTCAGATTAAAAGCAGGAATATTGTCCAATAGCTCCCCTTGCCAAGACCCCATAGGACCGTCATGAGAAATATGTCTAGCAAGTGCAGCTGGTAAATGACGAAGCTCAGAAAGCATAGGATTTTTTAGCCGAAAAATGCTAACTCTTTGCCGAGAGGCATCTGGATTATGTTGACTGTATCGTCCAACAGCCTCCCTATTAACCTCAGGATTTGTTTGGCTGTACCGCTGTACAGCTTCCCTGTGGACTTCGGGGTGTGTTTGACTGTAACGTTTTGCAGTCTCCTTCCTTTTCTCGGGATTATTTTCCCGGTAACGCTGAGAATCGGATAGATTTTTTTCCTTATGAGTTTCCGCGTACTTCTTTTTAGCTGCTTGTACTTGTTCCTCTCTAGTGGTGGAAAGATTTTTGGGGCGACCACGTTTTAATTTTTTTGGCCGTCCACCAACATTAACAGTAGTATTGAGATCAGGAAGGGATTTTATTTTTCTTAGAGGTGATATTACCACAATTGGGTAGAGGGATGTCAGTTTGGGATCGGGACTGTGACACTCTGGAATGGGTCTATTTACAGAATCGTTAAAGAAGTCAGGACTTGGACAGTGAGGATCGGGATCGTGTGTGCATTCATTGAGGAAATCAGGACTGGGACATTGCGAAAGGTGCAACACGCTTAGATTGGCTGAAAGTGGTCCATCGACCAAACAAAACGAAATCTGTGTGATAGAAAACTGCCGTACATTATAATCAAAAACTGTATTGCACAGTAACAATGACGCCAAAGAGTAGTAACTTTCACAGGTAAATAGTCTTGCCAAGTTGTTAGAGTCGTTGAGAAAATCATGTTGGCGCTCTTCATTCACAGCATGTGGATCAAATAAAAACAGACGGTTTTGACATCTCCAAAACCCGACCGTTACATTCAATCCAGTGAATAAAAACCCCAATTGATTGGACTTATTCAGCATTAGTACTTCCAACTCACAAGAAAGTTCAAAGATACTAACGTCCAAAAGATCGCGAGTAAGCGGGTACAGTGCATCGTACACATACTTTATTTCTGCAATGGCAACTTGATGATCTGCCACAACAAACTCACTTGGAAGTTCGTCAGGAAACAAAAATCGATTACCACCAACACAATCCTCGCTGCGAAGAGATCTGTATAAAGCATCTCCGCTAATTAAAATTGTATCAATGGCTGAAGTCGAGAAATCTTTGCCAAGAAACTTCCAAGCCAGTGCGCAGGCAGAATTAGCCACACATTGAGCATTCCTACTATAAGTGAATCGCTGACGATCACTCTGGTTAAACGAACCACTAACGACACAGCTGAATGCCATCGTATATTATCAGAATAATAAACAAAACTTAGCAAAACCTAGTTCGACAAACTACTTAGAACGTAACTGTTTGGATTAACTGACGAAAGATAAGCCAGAAAATTTACCCAACCCTAAAAAGAATAACCAAAACCACGCAGTATTTCAATAAAGTAGACTTGTTAATACTATTACCCTAAAAAACTAAAATTAAACGGTTCACTGACTATGAAAGTAGCCAGGAAACGAATATTACCCTAACCAAAAATTAAAATTAAACTATTCACTGACTGTGAAAGTAGCCAGTAAAAGAATATTACCCTAACCAAAAACTAAAATTAAACTATTCACTGACTGTGAAAGTAGCCAGTAAAAGAATATCACCCTAACCAAAACCTAAAATTAAAATTATTCACTGGCTGTGAAAGTAGCCAGTAAAAGAATATCACCCTAACCAAAAACTAAAATTAAAATTATTCACTGACAATAACTGTAGCCAGCAAACAAAAATTACCCTAACCAACAACTAAAACTAAATAATAATAAAAAAACGAAAGTGGATTCTAAACTAAAACCACTTAATACCAATGTCAATACCTAAAAGCTATAAAAAGACTCACAGACTACTAATATGGAAAGTAGCCAGCGAACAAACAAAACTTCTGACTACAACTAGGCGAAAACGAAACTAAAACCACAAATCACAACAATTAAAGATCACTGACAACTAAAACGATAGTAGTCAGCAAAAATTGTGAACAACTATGCAGTTTGAAATGAAGGGACGAAGAGCAGAATACAACGGTACGATGCAGTGCCTGTCTGAACAGCGAATGAGCTCGGTGGCGGCGTCGCGGCGAAGAGAAAGCGTCCCCACTCCTCCTCCGTGGTGGGGGTATGACGTCGACGGCGTCTGGCTAGCAACATGAATGAATACGCAGTATAACATATTATTTTATTTCGATGAAATAATATCTAATACCCTTAATTTACACTAATACATAATAGAATAAGTTAGGTATTTTAAACCTAGCCTAGCTCATAAAAATACAATACTTTCGACAAATTTTGACACTAAATAGACTGAATTGGTTAAGTTCTCAGCTATTTTAAAGCTAAAAGCAAGATGATTTTTGTGACGGTTGTGTTCAACAGTTTTGAAATCCGAACACATTTAATATTGATAAGACCGTAAAGAGTTTTCTTTTGTCAAGAAATATTTAATGTCGAATGGTACATAACTTTTGATTCCTGCTTAAGTTTATCATATGAGTTTTGCTATTTTGATGATTGCTATGAGTTCAGTTAGGTTGAATTGTAAATATAAACTATTTCAATATGAGCTTATGAGAAAAAATTTAAACAAATTATGATGATACATTTCCGCATACTATCGCTAAATAGGTTTAGCGTAGTTTAATAGTTCGTAATTAACATTTTTATAATCACACTCGAGCAAATAGTTTGACAATATTGCTTAAACTCAACAGCATAAAGAAAAGGCTATGCCATTTTTTGTCTTAAATTCAGCCTTTGAAACTACATTATACAGCAGAAAACCACTTTTGGAGTGTTTATTTGAGTTTTTACTATTTATTACGCCGTTTTATTTTAACAATAACTCATTCCTAAGAGTAGATTAACCAGTGGAATTCATTAGTTTTGAATAAACTTAACACCGTATTAGGCCTAAAACAAAACAGTACGATGCGTCTAACGGCAATTTGTTTCGCTACATATTTTAGACTGTATTTTATAATATCAAGGACATATGAAAGCCTATGTGTTTTTTAACGTCCACTGCAAATTAAACACCAAGAGGAATGTTCGGTCCCTTAGTACTATACAATATTAATCCATCAACTTTAATCATAATTACACAGGAATAGAGGTATTCAATAGTTTAGTAACAGTTTTTTTTCTAACCATGCACGTACGTGTACTAAATAGTTTGATAATATTGCTTAAGCATTTTATTATTTCACATGGTCTACGGTCTTTAACGTACAATTTTTGATATTGATAACTAGGTGAAATGTACAGTCATTCGTAACGGAAAATTGCTACACAATGAGAAATACGAGATACAATTAATTCACCAATTCGTTTAAGCTACGCAGAAATAGAGGTATTCAAAACATAAACTAGTTAATAATGATAAGCTACGTTTAATAAACTAAATAACTAGAATGGGTCTAACATGCTTGTTTGCTGCATTTTTTACTTTTACAAATGAGTAATATTTTACAATGCGCATAATAGAGTTTAATAGAGTTTTGTAGGAAATTTAATTCCTGACCATGAAAAGGCATCCCTTGCAGTGTTTTTTTTTTTTAGTTATAGCCGTTTAACAAAGTTGTCATTACCCCGTAACTTGGTGTAACTTGGTAATCGTGTTTCTAAATGGTTGAAAAACTATCACTGAAGTCAGCCACTTTTAAGCTTATAACATGGAAAACTGTTAGAGCACCAAATTTTGACATTAAACTTAAATTTTGGGGGTAAAGCTACGAAAAAACATGTAGTGGTTGAAATTTAAGGCAAACAAAGAAGAGTACAAAGCATTAATAATATTAGATAAAAAAATTCTTAGGTAAGGAAAAAATAAAACCTTTGAAAACTTGAAACTAATTTACCAATTTTGTTGTTTTTTTAGAGTTTTTTTAGGTGAAGGGGTGTGACTCTTGGAAAACGCCGTAAAGGATTTTGTAGAAAATCTAATGCCCGCCTCTTAAATTTTAGATTGCAATCATTTCAAATCTTTGCTAACTCTTACAGTTTTTTTGTTATAGCCGTGTAAAAAAGCGTGTTTTTGTCGTGTTCTTTTAAGATGCTTAATTAACTGTAAAGCTTATTTTAGTTAAATAAGTATAACAATAAATGTATAATCCATGGAGTTAAAGGGGGTAACATGATTTTGGTTGTCGCCACTAACATATTTCAAAGTTCTAGCTCTAATAATATGAGTGGGTAAGTGGGCTTATCCTTAAATTCTAAGGACACAACTATCAAAATGGTGTTTTTAGAGGGGTTTGGAGGGAAGATACGTGAAAGTCGCAATGGAACAAAATGTACACTATGAAAATTTGTATAAAAAAAATTAGTTAGATTTTATATAATCTTACGTTTGTGTAATTTTAAATTGAAGGAAAACTTAAAAATCGGGATTTTTTAAAAACTAAAATAATCCCCCCCTATTTTGAGGCTTGAGAAGAGTGATTAAAAATTCCACAATCGGTTAAGAATAAACTTTAGACATATGTAAAAATAAGTCTTGGGTCAAACATGCCCAAAACGTTTTTTAACCTACTCCAGAGCAGCCATCCCCCCCCCAAAACAGGGAAAAAAGGAAAAATTCCAAGTTTAAGCGTGAATTTGGGGGTGAAGGAGTGAAGATGGGAAAAAATATTAAATTACAAAGTTGTAGATAGTCAAAAATAAAGGAACGTAGGTGCTCTCCGTTTCTTGATCAAGCCTACGGTTGAGCCCCAACAGACGATAGAAAAAAAAACATGAGGGAAAATACCAAAAGTTGATGTTTAGAGCTAAATATAAGGGCGAAGGAGTGGAGATGGAAAAAAACATTATGTTACTAAATTGTAGCTAATTTAATTCTAAATACTGTAAGTGTTCTCCGTTTTTTGATTAGACCAACGGTTTAATCACAACAAACGTTTTAAAAAAACCTCTTTTTCGTACTTATAAAAAATCCGCCATTTTGAATTATTTTGGGGGGTTAAAATAAAAAATTATAACTTTTAGAAGTTTTCTGGGTGGTTTTGGGCCAAGACCTATAATCGTGCCAAATTTCACGTCCCTAGCTCTTCTAGAAGTATGTTAGAATTTGTATACCTGATCAGTCAGTCAGTGAGTTACACATGCGGCTGTATATTTAATTAGACTCGCCTTGTGCTCGCTGGGGGCTCCGCCCCCAGGCCCCCTTTTTTGGTTGGGGGTAAGTGGGAATGTTCCTCGGGGGACAGGATTTTGTTTGTGAATTTTTTTGCTTTTAAAACTTATAACTTTACATTTGCTAGGTAATTCATAAAGAGGGCGGGGGGTTGGAAAAATTATCGGCATGAAGGATGGACCCCTTGCGCAGTAAAAATCACCAAAAATAGGGAAAATAAGGTAAAGTTTCAGGTTTAAACACGAATTTAGGGTGGAGATGGTAAATAAAGCTAAACGCATGGCTCAATCACATCCTGGTTGAAGTTCGTTCGCTACGCTCACTCACCTTTAGGTTGGAGCTCGTTCGCTGCGCTCTTCACCTGTAGGTTGGAGCTCGTTCGCTGCGCTCACTTGCCTTAAGGTTAGCTCGTTCGCTACGCTCACTCACCTTTAGGTTGGAGCTCGTTCGCTGCGCTCACTTGCCTTCAGGCTAGCTCGTTCGCTACGCTCACTCACCTTTAGGTTGGAGCTCGTTCGCTGCGCTCACTTGCCTTCAGGTTAGCTCGTTCGCTACGCTCACTCACTTTTAGGTTGGAGCTCGTTCGCTGCGCTCACTCACCTGTGGGTTGGAGCTCGTTCGCTGCGCTCACTTGCCTTCAGGCTAGCTCGTTCGCTGCGCTCACTTGCCTTCAGGTTAGCTCGTTCGCTACGCTCACTCACCTTTTGGATGCAAATTAGCTATTGTCATAGATTAAAAAAAATAATAGTGCTGCACCCTGTTGCTAATGGTAACATTTTATTAATGGGGATGAAAGAGGGGGGGTTTAGAATGGTATTGGTCTAAATATCCATAATTTACCTACTTACATTTCGATCTCGTTTGCGTGTATAAGCATGTTAATTTTCTATAAGGAATACGTTAAAAAAAGCGTTAAAAAGTACATTTTTGAATAAAAACCCGCCATTTTAAATTTTTTAGTACGTTAAAATTATAGAAGGTCACTCAAGGGACTTTCTTTTCAACGTTAAGACCATAAAAAGTACAAATATATGTACGAAAAGTCGTTTTATAAGTTAAAAACACCAAAAAAATCAAGAATTTTTACAATTTTTCGAATTAGGGCGTTTTT